CGTATTCTCAGTCCAATAACGACAAGGTCACGCAAGGTTAGGGGATTTTCCTCGAGCTGTAGGATAGAGGAACGTTTATAGCAATTATGGGGGACAATTGAAACGATCGTAAACCACATTAAAGGCGTATTGAACTGCACATAAACGGCGGCGAAACAGGCGTATTGAATACATTGATAAATGCCAAGCATTTAGCAAAGTTATGAATATAAAAAGGTCTAGTAAATCATAGATATTAGTAGCCGAGTTTCTTGCTAGTTTTCTAAGCTGTATCATGTAGCTATGATTATAATGAAAATGTGACCTGTATAAGTAGCAAAAAGTTTTAAGATAAAAAATTTACGGAATATTTTTAAACGTATAATACTTTATTTTCCAAATTACATATCTCTCAGTGATAGCCTCCTTCCTGGCTAAGACTTTGAATTTCCCCCTTAAAATAATCTGCGCAGCAATATTTTTTAATTGTAAAATATTTATTTAGTACTTTAATGATGTATATTAATGGCTTTAGACAAATTGACACTATTGTTATCATTTATTTAATATTCATCGTTTAGTATATAAGCAAAAATAAATTATCCAACACAATAATATGTACTAAATCGAAGCAAGTAGAAAACTCAATACGGCTCAAGGGCTTAAAAATTTAATTGATTGAGAAGCTCGTGGAGTCTTTGATGTTTAAGGATTTTATCTTCTATATTTATAATTAAAGCACTTTAAACTCAATGTTGTGGTTGAATTTGGGAGCTCATGGCTCTGTGGATTCGTTGTAGGCTTAGAAGTTCTTATAGGTAGTAGACAAAGACATGATGTTAAGATCGACAGGGTTTCGATCGTATTATGGTTGTTGTACGCGCCAGAATTTGTGAATGCAAACAATTCATATAATCCCTAATAATGAATATTCTGATTACTAGTTTAATACATAATGTCAAAGTATTAATACTGCATAATATAATTTCATTTGATCTGTGGCAATTTAATATATTACGTATTATATTCTATTAGGTATATATGTAATTTAAATTATTAACCGGGTCTTAACACGAATAATTTTATGGCAAATAAAGGTATTTATTTACCTCTCTCGACGTTTCGACTAGTTTGCACTAGCCATGTTCACGAGCTGACTGGAGTAACAGCGATGTCAATGAAGAAAGGTGACAGCAGTTTTTTCTTCATCTACCCTCACTAGATTGTTTAACGAAATTTAGAACACACAGCGCTCACGGTATCCGTACAATTATTGACTATTGATGCCACTGAACTTTGCTTGAATTTATCTATGACTGGATTCCATGCAGATGATAAGTTTAAGCCATCCTCTCTGTTGAATATTCGTATGCCATAAAATTATTTGTGTTGAGACCCGGTTAATAATTTAAATAATGTATATTAAACACGAAAGTTTAAAAGGTATATATGTAGGTGTATGGTAGATATATGTGACTAGGGCAACATTAGTAGAAGTATTTCAGAGTAAATAAAATTACCATTGCAAACAATACCAGATTTATTTATTTGAAAAATATGAGAACAGATTTAAACTACAATCAGACGTTTGTCTTGTAACAAAAATAATTTTCGTATTGTCCTTTTAAGTTAACAATATGGGAATTACTATATGAGAAGCTAAGAAAATACTTAAAATTATTAAATATAACTTCACACGCAATCTGTGTAGAACATTACTTTCTATATATAAATAAGTACCTAAATTTTCGTCTTAATGCCAATAAATAACTAAAAATAATACCTAATTATAAATTACATAATATCATCCTTTTAATTTTGACATCACATTTACGCAATTTAATGGCCTATATACAAATATTTAAGAATAAAAATCAATGAAATTAAATATTTCGATTCATCTTCTTACATTAGTGTATCAAAGAAATTGTAGATTTAATACAATGTCAAGAAAGTCACTGTGAATTCGTTCGAACACCTAATATGCCGTGAGATCATAAAAAGTTTAGTCATGAGAATGACAGCGGCTTCTAATTAGTCGTGGAGTATTCAGATACAGAATTATTAAGAAAGAACATTACTTTGTCATTAACGAAATAAAATTAATTGATAACCGTTACATATGTTAGAAACTTGTAATCCTGAAAACATAAAAATCTGTATGTATTTTGAAACTCTTTCAGCTATGAAGGTAGTTAACACCTTAGGAATTGTGAAAATACTTACATACATTTACATAATGAAACTGGAGCAACTTACCACCTTCTTCTTATATTCTACTGAATAACTTAGCATATTTTAAACACTTGCATACTGTTCTATGCTGTAAACCTTTATGTTTATACTTACCCTTAATTAATGCGTTCCATTGAGCGAAAGTACTCGATCATAACATTTCCTTCATTTTAAAACTATAAAACCGAAATATTTTATACTAGGTATATCTAGATATTTCTGATGAAAACATGTTGTTTAAATTAACTTATTATATTGTCATCCTTTTTATATACATCTTTATACCACCAGCGTACACATAGGTACAGATACTAGAATTACTAGAGTATGGTATAAGCATTTATAGATTTAGGAACTTTATTTAGCATATAAAATTAATTCAATGTTAAACAAAAAATCTTTAATTTCCAATTAATTTGTTTGCCGAGATAAGTGTGAATTATAAATTTTTTACAAGTATTTATATATTAAAAATTGCTTAGGAGAAATCCTCAAGAAATAATATTTTTTTTACTGCAATAAGTAAATAAATTGTAGAAAGTACACATATACTAATAGATAACATAAAATTTTAATATATCAGATTTTAGAGTGTTGTTGTTGTCCAGTTTTGTACATAAATATTATATACAAATATGTTAGAAATACATGATTATAACAATTAGATTAGATATATTTAAATACAATAACTAAAATAAGTGTTTGCAGGTTTACTGTAAAACATAAAAACTGTCAACATTATGAATATTATAATTTTATGATAATGCAGGCAAATGTTCGTCTATGTATCTGTGTAAACTATATGACGGCATACTTTCAGTAAAAATTAAGTAATTTGGAAATATTCTGAAATTATGTATTAAAATTACTAAGATTTTACTACTTTCGTCATCTTGCTTGCAAGTTTTTTGTGAACTAATAAATATTTTATTCACAGTAATTAAGTAAACCACATAATTATAAACTCAATTATAAACCCCTTGCACCATGCTTTATTACTAACTTTACCTTTACGACTCTTCTGTGAATAAAATGTAATTTGCATAATAAAATAATTTAGGAAAGAAAGAACAACTGTCTTTTTGATCACGGAAAGTTTCTTAATTTAGAATGTACCTTTACATCATTTTAAACTTTTGAGAATTCGCAGACGTATTATAGTTATGTATACATTGGAAAATTTTACAGTATTATATAACTTCAGTATACCTAAATAGAGTATTTCGTAATTACATAGATATTTATTATTTTGGCTTATTAACAGTTTAACCTTTCGTTATTATGAACTTACAGGGACATAAGGTTGCCAAAAGGGTATTGGCATAATGATGAGTTCAAATATCAATGGGCACTTAAATTTGAAAACTGTATTTAGTAACAAGAGCTGGTTGATTAATAACATTAATCAAAGTTTGCGAAAAATAAAATGCGTCCGAGCTCAATGCTCAATTAAATGACATGAATGAAACCGCTCTCTAAATTTGTAAAAATAATAGCATTTAAGAAAATAATAGCTATTTTTATGGACTTCATATGTCAGTTGTCAACTATTAAATAGCCAAAATTTTAATAAAAAAAAACATATTATAAATTTCTATAACACTTAATGCATATGTATATATTCTGCATATGCTGAAGTTTTTGAAATTCTGCTGAAAAACGAACCTCTGATATCTGCAAAATGTTACTTACCTGTACATGATATAATTTAGAAGTTTTAGTTAAATAAATAACCAGAAGGAACTAAAATATAAATGGAAGAACGTTATACAGAATTGTTCCCTTAAAAGGATTGACTAACTCCAAACGAGACAGATAACATTTCGTATTGAATCAACTTAAGTATACTATTGTTCAGATTAAACCTTTAATAAGTAATAACAATCAAGCCAGACGCTAAAGGATAAGTTTCGAATATATTTAATATTCAAAAACTTATCCCTTTGATCTCTTACTCTCAAATAAGGCCATTTATATGCAAGTTTGCTTTTAGCAAAATTTACGCATTAAACTGTCATCGTAGTTAACATAATTCAAAACTTAATTAAATACCGCATTTTGTTTTGTTGTTTATCTATTTTTAATATTATCACTTCACATAATGATCATTTTATATTAATATTTAAATTTCATTACCAAATCAATAAATGATCATGATGATAAAGATGACAATAGTTTTCCGTATGATATATTTCATAATTATTATTAGTTTTTTAGTTTCCGATGAAAAATATAGTAAATCAACAGCTGAAAGTTCCATTCCTTACAAAGAACCATTTTTTGCTTATCAAATTATCATAACAGATTTAATGCATGCACATCGATTCCGAATGCTTTTCAATTTAAGTTATAAATATTTGTTCTGGTTGTCGTACACATACGATTTAATTTTATATGATGATGAATAGCTAACATCGTACGTATATAGTGCATGTTCTGTTATTTGATAGAAAAATATATCCTTTTTAAAAGATTGTAACCCACATGAGACACTTGTCGCGAGTCTTTGTTTTAATTATAGTGTTTTATTTTCATACTACAATTAGGTTTTAATTTAGGTACAACTAAAATTTATAATATATCTACTACAATTTTAAGTTTACATTTAATGTTTCGAAATGTCTTTTATACCTATGGCAGAAAATTAAACTATTATAAAACATTCGATGTTAAAATAGGCACAATCGCTTATAACAACATTTATTCATTATATACATCTGTACTTATGAAACTTTGTATTAAAATATTATTTAATAACGAAAGTTTTCGACCACTTTACTCACAAGTTATAATTTATCGTCGCACACGTGAAAATGAGTTTCATTGTCCCTCTCTCCCCTCGGATTCACCCTCAGAGCATTTCCATTCGTAAGTAGTTCGGTAGCATTCGAATGATCTGTTAAAGAAACGGAAATATATAAAACAATAGCTTTAATATTCTCGAGGACGTTTCACAGATGTCCCTAACTGATTCAAGGCAGCGAAAGCAGAAAAAATATCACTGTATCAATATGTCGATATGAAATCCTACTTTGTTACATAAGATGAAGGTAAAGCCCATGAATACTGAGAAAATCAAATCATATCGTGGTTATTGTCACCTTTTATTAGATATATAAGATATCTGTATTATTATTGTACCTACCTATCTATTAGATATCATGTCCCATAATTATAGATTCTGATTCATTAATTACTCATAAGAAAATAATTCATCTCCACCCTAAATTTGCTACAACGCAATTATAAAACATAGGTACATATATTGTATACTTATAAGTGTTCTTCATTTCTGGGCATAATAATAACAATATTTTTATGCGATCTTTAATAAGATATTATGCATTGGCAGAGTACTTATGGGAGATTATATATATATATTAATATATTGAAGTTGTTCATAAGTCTCTATAAATAGTTTTTAAACAATTTTAACATGTCATGTTAAAATCTGTCAGATTTACAACTAGAATATACAAATAATATACTATATTATTAATGTAGTAGTTGTAGTGTACTGCATACAACAACAAGAATAGTATAGAATTGATATTCAAGAAAATCCCCAAAGTGATTCGACTAGTCTGAAATTACTAGGCATAGCATAAAGTGATTTTTCCCGATTTTCCTCAAACATTTTTACTTTTTTAACATATACATAATACTTATTTTTCAATTTAGTACGTGACATCGAATAGGATATTCTGTATTACGTAGCCAACCCTCTACCATATCTACTCATAGTTAAAAAAGTGCTTTTTTTTGTATAGTAATTCTGTATAGAAAACGTGAAATAAAGTGATTAATACTTATTTGTATATTTGAATTGTATATCATCGTAAACAAAGAAAAGATAAGAATTTTTAAACGGTTTTGATGTACGGACTTCAAACAGTCCCATTATAAAAGCAAACATTGAAAAGCTTTTAAAAAAAACAAGTGATACCGGCAAACGTTATTTTTTTTAATTTAAAAGGTAGTTGGCCCAAAGATTGTGAAATGGATTACTAAGAATGTTTTTGATTCCGATAAAATGGCTAATCGGTGATAAAATGGCTATTTAAAAACTTTTATATGTTAATAGAATTAATTTATATGTATTCTGAAAGATTAATTAATAATAATTTAAATTGTACCAAAGTAGCAGTAATGCAATTACGACAATATATAACATAACAGATTAAAAATATTTTTATGCATAAATATGACGGTTTCTTTATTGTAATTTGAATTTATTAGTCCAAGTGAGGAAATGACAAAAATCGCACTCACTAGTAATTGTTGATAAAGAGAGTATTAAATACATAACTAATCATATTATTTAAAAATTTGTTCAAGTAAATAATTAAACACTAAGTTTAGTAGATTAGTTTATATTTAGGGTTAAATAATGAACTTAAAAGCCTTTTCATTTCTTTCCGTAACTTTGTCTTACAGAGCTCTCAATACGTACTTCTTGTTTCTTTTTAGTATCGTATCGCCTCAATACATTATGATAGTTAGAAACTTTCGCATCAAATTTAGCATTTGCTTCTGTACTTCCCATCAGGGGATATAAGGACTTTTATTGTATTTGTAAGTCTTATAGGCAATGTCCACATTACATAGAATTATGTGGGTCGTTTATAAATATTAAGGTAATAACAGCAAATGAGTTTTTTTCAACCGCTACGATTTCTGTATCTTTATTTTATCATTTTATTAATTTGTGCAAAAGCTTCGAAAATGTTAAGTCGTTCTTAGATATTCGTATATTATAATACAGGTAGCTACATATTCAGCTACATTTCAAGCATATCAAATTGTTCTTGATATTTACTGTATCAAAATCAAAATAAGAAGTATTATAAAATGTAACAGTTAACAATGTACAGAAATACATTATCTATACTAAGAAAACACATTTAAAATAGAAATTATTCCTAAATTCGATTTTAGGCTATAGCAGAGATTATCTCTGCCAATATTGTACCAAATTTGTAATATTTCATGCACTTATTGTGGAATAATATATACGAATACATAAAAGAAACTTGCATTACATGCAAAACGTCACATTTATCCAATCGAATTAGAGGATACATAAAGTACTTAATAAGACTTAAATATTTACAATATAGTACAATATAGTCCCTATTGAATGGCGATATTGCTTTACTTTATTACAAATGGTTATCGTCGCCTGGCGAATGTGTGTAAGAAATAGGTCAATAGACACCTACTGGACTGGTAAGTCAAGCTGTATTGTATAACGTTGTTTGTTTCTACTTTAATAATTATTTAATGTACTAATAGAATATAAATTTTAATATATTAATTATTAAATTATTTATTATTAAAATTTATTTCTGTATAACAGAAAACAAAAATATAGTATGACTTCAATAAATAAATTAGTAAAATAGATTTTTTTTTATTTCAGAGTATTTATTAACAAATTATTATTTTATTTCCTTTTAAAACATTTATTTAAAATTTTCTAATATTTCATAACTTCATATTTGCTCTACTCTTAAAAGTGGCCTTTGTTATTGCAGTTTCAGAGAGGTAATTTTTTTAAAGCCGAATGTTTAAATTCCGTTATCGGTTTTATTTTAATTCTGATAGTTTATAGGCATAATTTTAAACAAACATCGTATTTTAAACAGTCGTATAAACTGGGAAATGTTTTCGGTGAAACAGCCTGAATAGAATGAAAACAAAGTTTTGCAGGATAAGTAGTGCAACCAATCAGTGGATATCCACCCCAACCCTTCGTATATCTATTACTTCCATTAAAAAATAGTTTAATTCTACACTCTGATCCAGGAGATTCTTAGAAAATAATCAAAAATTAAATATATATTCTGGTCAAGTATAAATATTTCTCTTTACTGTTTACTGGCTATATTAAACAAGATGGTATACAGATAATTAAGGAGAGTACGGGTCACTGGCCGGTTTAAGGAGAAAACACTTTACTGTAAGATAAATAAAACAGAAAAGGAATTTGTAGACTGATGTTATGAAGATCGTCCTACATCCTACATTACATATTATACGACGTCAGTCTCTTGTTATTAAAGTACACAGTAGCTGGTAAAAATAGGATTAGTGATGTATTTAATAAATAGGTATCTATGTCTTCCACAGGGATGCCAACCGTATGTGAATCCACAAGAACTTCGAACTTGTACAAACATATTCGACATTTTTGGCCTACGATACAAAAGACGACGAGATACGAGACTTGCTTAAAGATTTCTACAACATGTTGACCTACAGAATTCTACAAAATACGTTGATGTACGAGGTTTAAAAGCTAAATTGATCTGATATACGAGATTTTATCAAGTTTCTCATTTCTTCGTACGATGCTGCTTATGCTTTAAAGTTAGCAACCCTAGTTTGCCACTAATTTGTTTGGCAGAATGTAGGCGTAGATTTTCGTCGAGTATTCATCAAGTCATCCTGACGCTCCTCATTAACTACTACTAATTAACTTTTTGTAAGTTTGTAGTATTGTGAATATTATATAGTATAGTTATAGAACCACCGTATATACATTCCGTAATTGGATAATATATGTAGTGTATGTGGAAACACTAGCAGTTTATTATCTATCGGCTCGTTAGCCATAGCTCCACGTCTTTACTCCGCGGCGCTTGCGCAGGGAATCCCTTCCCTCTTGCGCACGGCGGTCCGTGTACGCTCGGCTCGAGACGATAGATAATAAACTGCTAGTGTTTCCACATACACTACATCTCTCTCCTTTTTAAGTTTATTTTCTTTTCAAGCATGAATCAATCCAGTCTATTAGGTATTTGTTCCTTGGAGGCATGTGTGCTACGTTACAACGATGGTGGACTCATTTTGACACTATACTGCCACACATAAGCCGAATGCCTCTAGTGCGATTGGCCTTTCCAGCGTAACCAGCACCGTGATTTTCCTCCTCATTTGAATGTAAATAACTCCAATTTACTCTGTGTTTCACATACTTCACCTTTCTTCTTTTATCTTTGTTTTCATATAATCGTTATTCCATTTTGTTATTGTGTAATATTATGTAAGATTAGTATAAAGCACTTCTGAAAAGAGGTTGTATGTTTATGACCAGAATATCTCTATTATAGTAGTCACTACTTTATATTTTGTAGGTTTAAGGTAAATACTTATATTTTTTCCATTCTATCTGTCTCATGCAATGTGTTATTTACATGTAGTATTTTTTTTTCTATATATTATGTATATAATATGTTCCGTATTCCGAACCTCCTTAGTCTAAGCAGGTTGTATCACCGGCTTGCTTACTGAAGCAAAGGGTAATTGGGTATAACTATAACCATTCTTCATCGTAGCAAAATTATCTCTCTTATCACCTGCATTAATTCAGTGCTAAAATATTAGGAAATGTTGTCAGACCAGTCTTTGAGCGATCGACATATACCACAATATGTATACCTATATATACGAGAAAAACATCTACCATTGGTTATAGTAATAGTAGCAGGATCCGATACTACATATAGTACATTAAAATATAATTATACGAAAAACAAGTAATTGGAAGAAACAAGTAATTAAAAATTTATTTCGGATGCATCTATCATATATCAATACTAATATTATATTTGCGAAACTGTGTCTATCAGTATGTTACATTTTCACGTCTAAACAACCTGGAAAAGTTCAAAATGAAATTTAACTTGAAGATTATCTTAGTAATGACTATTTTTCATGTATTAAAAAAAAGTCGCGTAAAACATCCAGTATTTTTTTATTTTAAATATTTTACATAAAATTTTATAAATTAACCAAAAAGAAGAAAACATTTGATGTAACGTTTGTTATATGATATTCTATGAAACAAGCCTTGAAAGACGTGTCAGTGGTAAAGGATCAAAAGTAAATGGC